CGGACATACGCACGTGTATGGGTGCACAAGACACATACATACATACACACACACACATACATACATACACACACACACATCTTACCACATACACACACACGCAACCGCCCACATACACATACACACACACGCAACCGCCCACATACACATACACACACACAATAACAATACATACACCCTCTCAACCTCGTGCACGCACACATAAATATATATATTAAGTGCATGCTAGTATATAAAATCGTATTTGTAGCCTACATAGTATATGTTTTTCTAAATTGAATACATGGCTACTAGACGATGCAATGAACTGTACTTGTACCGAACATACGTATTGGTAGATTTACAATCTGGAGTCAACTACACCACCAGATACATAGTTATTATTTAAAGTAAATGGAAACAAAGTGAGTGCTAAATTTCACCTTCGAATTTCACCTCGGTATAGGCATGTATTATTAGATTTATACGCAAACATGTGCTCCTAATTGGATAAGCAAATCTGTCAATAAATGCTACATTTGGATATCTGAATCATTTTCTACGACTCGGCATGTCCTTAGAATAGCAATCCGTAACAACCTATGTGTATGCATGTATACTCCTTACAGTGGTTCATATAGCCTTCACAGTTTCAAGCGACATGTATATGGGCTTGTATGAGAGTAAGGTCATCGCTGCTTGTTGAAACAATCATTTACTAGCAATCAATATTATCGTTTGACAAGCGTACTTTTATGTTATAAAGTATATCACACATAGACACACAATAGTATATGCACTCACATACAAAAATTTCACCTCTGTATGTTCATTCGGTAAATATGGGGACGGATATCAGGGGCAATCCCACCCGGCTGTGTTGAGGTTTGGTCAATGACGTATATACGTTGCTTGGTTTTTCATACGTCCGGCTATAATGCGTTCAATAAACTGTTATCACGATTGTGTCGCCATCAGTAGTGTATTCAAACCGAAATCAACCACGTTCTCGGTATTCGCTTTTGGCTCTACAATTAATTCTTTTACATACTGAGACCCTTTAAGACTAGACCTGAGTCGTATAACTAACTCTGTATGTGCTTCCCATCACCCACAGGTGTCGTCCCGGCAGTATGTAATCACACACTACGCCCAGGGTCGGCGGCTTACGCTAAATAGAGACGATCACTCGTACTCAGCCACCACCACAACCTCAACGGCGCACGAAGCGCCTGTACGGCACCCCATTGGTGTGAAGTGTGATGTAATTGACCCGCACAAGGCTGAACTCGAGGGCAAACGGGCTGCAGAGGTGCCTGAGATGTACTGTATATTCGGTGTAGTCGGCTTGGTCCAGCTGTTAACAGGTTAGTATACGTTGAACGTTTAATTATAAACTCAGCACCGGCTTACAGCGCTCAGTGGTTTGCATGGAGATGTTCTGCACCATATATTGAGTGGCCGTATGGGGTTCGGTTGTGAGGGGTAGAGATAAATTTGGGAGATGCAATATGAATGTGAACTGCTCTGACGGGTATGCTATAATACATGCAAAAAGGGGAGGCAGATGCATGTACGTGCGAATGATTGATTTACGTTGTTTGAGCTATAAATATATTCCGCACACATTCGTAGCAATATCGGGTGAAATGCTAGGAGCCTAGACAAGTGGTTGTAGCTCAGTTTTCACATTCATCTCCCAAATTTGCAGACAAAAAAATACTCTGC